TAACACCAGACTGTGATCCCATTTCCATGAGTCACTTATGGAATTATTTAAGCTCAATGAAACTAAATTATGGACGAGTACCACTCATCACCCTCACAGTGCTGGGCAAAGTGAGATCTTTAACCGAGTATTGGAGTACTTATGTTCAGAATAAACCTTCGTAGTGGGGAAAAGTTCCTTAGTTTGGTTGAATGGTCCTATAATAATACTTGCACTCTGCCACTGGTTTTATACCTTTTTAATTATTGAAGAGGTGGATGTTAGTACATGCAGTAACAGCTTATATGTTTTAAATTATCAGTGACATGATTATTTATTTTTCTATCGCCTGATTATTCCACCATCATATTCATTTGCACAATTAGCTAGCAGCAGCTACTTAACTGGAAGGATTAAATATAAATTATTTTAAAAAAATGAGAGATGAAAAAGTAAAAAAAGGATTATTAAGATCCAAAATCAAAATAAGAAAAAAATTTACAGGGATGGAAAACATAGTTTACGTCTTTTCTTGTTTATAATTTTGTTTCTCCAATTTTGCTACACTGAAATTGGATTGTTTTGATTTATTCAGTGGATACTAGTTTTTCTTTTTCCCATGCAAAGCGCAGTTTTACTTTTGTAGTTCACTACATTCTCTTACTGGTTAGAGAAACTAGTCATTAATTCCTCAAAATAATTATTTTTACCGGTTTTATAAAAAAACTGAGAAGAAAAAATGATTTTTCTAAAATAACCCCTGCTGAACACATGCTAAGTTGAATCAAACACACTCTAGATTAATCCAATAAGTTAGACTCCATAATTTTGAGTTTCCTTCTCACGTATGATTGGAGAAAATGGAAAAAAAAAAGTGAAAAACTGAGATTTTAATTTATTTTAGAAAAATAAAGAAGTTAATAATAAGTTCACTACTAAATTGTGATGAATAAGTGTGAATACAAATGACAAAATTGCATGTTACGTCTGTTATTATCAGAAAGAAAGAGTTGAGGTATGAAATATACCTAAAAGGAGTAACGTGTCAAAACATGTATTCATGGTGTATAGTAAAAGTTATTTTCATAAAGTAATATTTAGTATCGTTGCATATCGACCTAGTGAAAGCTAAGTTAAGTTGCCCATATAAATTCAATTAGAAACAAAAGTAGTAGGTATAACATAACATGTACAAAACCCGAAAGTGATTAAAGAGCATCAACTTGATGCATGTCGAGCTAGATAGTTGTTGAAACACATTAATTAAGTTTATTTTAGTGAAGTATTTAAAAAAGAAATGTATTTAAGGTTTTCATTTTAATGCAAGCAATACCCATAATTTAATATATATGGGATTATTTAGTGAAAAAAGTTACTTTCATATAACAATGAGAAAAAATACTTATACCTGTACTATTATATATTAATAATTAAAGTTTAGTTTATTAAAATCGTATAAATAAATTTAAAAATTATGTAACTTTTTAAAATGTCAAATAAATAAATTAAATTAATTTTTTTAACCTATCTGTTAAAGCTCGTACTACCTGCTACGAGTTAGTCTAAATAGGACTGGTAACTCCCTTTGCCAGTTTTACCTTAACTTATCCCATTTTCATTCTTATTCTTAATATAAACTGAGAAAATAGTTAAAACAACAAATATTAACTATTAAATCTTAAAAATAATTAAGATTAAACAAGTCATATATATATATATATTTTTTTTAAAAATTATATAACTAATTTAATAATTATGTAACGTAAAATTTTTTTATTCTAACTATTTATGTTACTTGTTTTATTTTAATTCTTATACTTACATAATTTCATTTATCCAATTGGTTGTGAAATTGTCAGTGTGCTATCAAATTCATCTATTCAAATATAATTTGTATAAATAAAAACTAAAATAACACATATCGCATATTTCAAATATACACATTTGTGTATTTACACATTCTGAGATAAATTTGCTAATATTACTGATATATAAAAAATTAAACGATCAACATTAACATCCCTAAACTTTTACTTGAATCTTATATTAATAATCAAAATTAACACTTTTTATCCTTTAACGTCATAATTGATATACTTCATATTTATATTCATGAAGTTCTTATATATATTTGCTTATCTTTATAATAAGTTTGTCAACAAATTATAATTTTAGTTCTTCTAAATTACACCTAATTTAAAACACGTATTGTTAACATGGTCTTCCTGAAATATAGTTTAATAATCCATGTTAACAAACCTTAATAGAAGATTAATTTTATGGAGTATATATAACAGAATCAATTCTGGTCATCCATACATAATTATATATAGTTATGATTAGTGAGTGTATATACAATATGCCTATGAAATAAATTAATTTTAATCAAACAATTATATATAAATAATTAAAATTGTATTACTAAAATCTAAATTAAACTAATAGCCAAAAAAAAATCTGACTTAAACTATTTATTTATAATCATAATATTACACTTTAAGTAAAACTAAATAAGAAGTTAGCTAAACTAAAGTGGTAGTATTGATAATTACTGCTTAAGCCTTAGAGGCTAAGACTAATTAAAAGTAGGTGGCGCGAAAACAACTGGCCCTACATCTCCCTCCATTCCTAACTGAAACCGTTTTCTCATATCTCTATTTAATTTTTATTATATTAATTTAATTTTGCGTCAGGAAAACCCTTTTGGGTACTACCAAATCACTGAGACTTTCCCTCTTTTAATCACTCCTTCACCGTTCCCTTCCCTTCATAAAAATTGCAAAAACCCTCACCGGGAACCCACTTTCCGACGACCGGCACTTCACTCTCCGTCCATCTCCGGCGACTCGTTTCACCTTGGCGGAATCGTAAGGCTCTTGATTTTTCGTTCGTTTTTTCTTTGAAGGATGAAGGACTAATCACTCGTTCAATTATGCTTTGCGTTTCGACTCCATTAGATGTGCGAAATTTCACACAATTGAGAAATTCATGTTCCGGTTAGTTTCCATTTTCCGATTTTTCTTTATTTTATTTTGTTCGATCTAGATCCCTTCGTTTAATTTGCCGTCATGTTATGCGGAGATTACTTTGGCTTTTGTTTCTGATAAAAATTTCTGCGGTTAATTTTTTTTCCTGTTGATAAATTTTTCTCCCAATACGTAAGAGGTTTAATTTTCAGTAAGCTTCTGTGCAAAACATGATTCTATGAACTAGCACTATGTATTGTTTTTGTGAGTTTACCACACTCACAGGGAAACACTGAACGTGTCTTGAGTACGAGAGACACGAACCTGCGCATCCATCCAGATTCCAGACATCTGTCATGGATCCCTCTCAGAACCCTTTTTTTCTTTCTAAATTTTCCCGGAACTGTTTTCTCTCTCTTTCTTGGATTTCATCGATACTGCAAAATTATGCTGTATTGCCAAAAACGGAATTACAATTTTACGCTTCTATAATTATTATTACTGAATTTAATTCTCGCATTACGTCCATACTAATAAAATTAATTTTATTTATATTAATAAATAATAAATTTTTTTAAAAATAAAAATTTAATGATAATTTATTTTAAAAATAAATTTAACTAATAAATTATGAATTTAATTGAAATTTATTAACAGTGTTAATATTTTTATGTTGTCCTTAAATCACGTATCGTTATTTGTTAGTAAGAATCATTAATTTTTATTTCATAATAGGGTCATAAAATTAATTCTATGAAATAAAATTATATTAACTATATTCAAGAAAACAAAATATATTTAAAGTGTTTAAAGGGCTACTATCTCTCTTGCATAAAAAATTTAAATAAAAGATTTATACTGTATATAAAGAAGGAAATTTATCATAAGGCATATTGTAACAAAATTTGTCTTTAAATTTTGAAGAGTATATATTATTACGATGAATTGTTCCACTCAATCTCGTATATCTTCGTAAATTATTTATATAAAATAAAAACATTAAAATAAATCATTTAATTTTATGGATACCAAATATAAAGTAAAAAGAAATTATTATTTCTTAGGATGATAAAATTAAATATATAGTATTTTATAAGTATATACATAGTATTTGATGAAAAAAAAGCGTACAGATTAAGATAAAATTGTGACTAAATTTATAAATAAGTTTTATAATTTTAAATTATAGAAAATATTATTTTTATATACGTATATTATATAATAAAATACTGTTTTGATTATTGATTTAATAAAAAATATATATTAGTAAAAGCTTTAATTTTTACATCATAGGTAAATATTTTATTATTTTTATTTTAATATTAAAATTATAGTATATGATTATTTAATAATATATATTATAATTGAAGATAGAGAAATTTTTTTAAAAATAAATAAAATAATAATTAAAATTAAGATTTTATTTTAAAATTGTGATATATATATATGAATGAGTTAGAAGTCGTTAAATTTAACATAATTTACTATTTATTTTTCTTATAAAAATATATTATCCATTTAAATAAAATAATGTAATTAAATGTTTATAAATTTTATTTTTATATGAAATTTTATTAAATTAATTTATTTGATAAAAATATTAATTCTATTTTTTTAAAAATTATTAAATATGGTAAGTATTTAAGTTTAAGACTTTATCTTAATAGATTTTTATTATGCCATTTTATTTATTTATCGTTGCTGAAATTGGGGTGTCTGAGTTTTTCAATTGTTTTGAACTTTTAACCACACCACACGAATCGTATTCGTATTTGCGAATCATGTTAGTTTTACGGGGATGGACAATGATCGTTCCAGCACGTGGACTTGCATGTCTTTACCCATCTCCCCGAGAACATTACCACCTGCGACTCCAACCTTCGATTAAATTAAGAAAATTATGATAGTTGTGCACAGCATACAAACAAAACAAGAGACATAATTAAGAGGAAACTCATAAATAAACAGTTAGTATTATTATACTAAAGCAATTAATTGCTAGTAAATAATGTCAAGTGTGTGGTGGTTTCATCTTAGGAAAACCTACAACATTGATTTAAGTGAAGTGTTTGATTGTTTAAGAGCGTTATCTGTTCTGCAATATATAGTTTTGTTTGGTAATACTTTGTGATGAAAGGGGCTGTTGAAGAGGGGAAGTAACAGGGATAGTGTATTTTGTGTGAAGTGAACCCATTGCCAGCACACACACGAGAGACCATGGCACTCTCGTGAGAGGAACAAAAGGAGGAAAATTTTATAGCCTGTGCCTTACCCTACGCACTTCCTCTTTCTTATCCTACACCATCCATTATCCAAGTCCACTCACCAGTATCACCAATTTCCAAGGGGACCCCCACCCTTCCCCTGCAATTTTGAATTCCTTCTTTTGTTCAGTTAAATAATAACAAACGTCTGATGACAATAAACGTTAAATGCACGTCGAGGCAGTTTCAGCGAGTTTCTCTCACCCATTACTCCAAATGTTGTTTGCCCCCTCTTTGTTCTTCTTGGCGTGTCCTGATCTGGTTGGATTTGGGTATTATTTGATGAGAAAAGCATACCCACTTGCTTTTCTCGGGTTTGATTGTCAAATTCGTTCTCCAACAGATCTTAGCTTCAGTAAAGATGTGCGCTTTTTCCATTTATTGTTCTCCCCCACTTTTCCTTTTTGACGGGTTTAATTCTTTTCCTTTTCTTTTTCTTTTGTATATCTGACTTTTAAGCTGTGTGCATTTGTAGCAGATTTACTGCGCGGAAAAGGATCTCCTTTATAGATAAGTTGGCGCGGTTCATTTATTCCGCTGAACGCGGGGCACATGATTGCCAAGGCTGCTGAATCTAGTTTGCTGAATTTTATTTTTTTTTATCAATGTGGTCTACTTGGGATAGATAGGGTGGATGGATGTATGTAAATCAGAGCAAGCATCGAGGAAACACAAAGCTGCGGAGACCCCAAGACCACTTTTGGTTCTGGCAGAAAAGAACAATGCAGTCACCACCACCGGGCGCTCTGGAACAAGGGAAGTTAGTTCTCGGTACAAGTCACCTACTCCTGCAAGCCCATCTGGTTCTCGTAGATGCCCTTCTCCAAACCTCACAAGAACAACAACGCCTGCTTCATCCTCCCAGTTGTTACCGAAGAGGTCTCTCTCTGCAGAAAGAAAGAGACCTTCAACTCCTCCTTCCCCACCAACACCAAGACCTTCCACCCCTGTCAATAATTCATCTGTAGATGGGAAGTTGTCAAAAAGGGTATCAGGTAGCCGATTGCCGGATAGTCTATGGCCTTCCACAATGCGAAGTTTGAGTGTTTCTTTCCAGTCAGATACCATTTCCATACCTGTTAGTAAGAAAGAGAAGCCAGTTGCTAGTGCTTCTGATCGTACTCTGCGACCAGCTTCAAATGTGGCACACAAGCAGGCTGAAACTCCAACCGTAAGAAAGCCTACTCCAGAGAGAAAATGTAGTCCCCTTAATGGGAAGAATGCTTCTGCTCAGTCTGAGAATTCAAAACCAGCTGACAGCAGCTTGCCTTCTCGGTTAATTGACCAGCATCGATGGCCGGGTAGGATAGGCGGGAAGGTATCTTCTAGTGCATTAAACAGAAGTGTTGATTGTGGTGATACCAGAACGTTGAATACTTCTGTTTCAGGAACTGTTTTTTCTTCACAGAGAAGATTGTCTAGATCAGATGAATCAAGTAAACCCTTGCAAAGGGCTTCTAGTGATGCTGTAAGGCTATTACCACTTATTGGAAGTGGCAGAATAGGAAGTGAGGCTAAATCAGTTGATGATTGTTCGCTACACAAATTAAGACCTCACAAATTTGTGGCTACAAGTCCGACAAATAAAGCTGGATTTGCCAGTGCTGGAGTCAGATCTCAGTCCTCGTCAGCTCCAGGATCACGTCTACCCTCACCTAGTAGGACCTCACTATCCTCTTCTAGTTCAAGAGGTGTCAGTCCATCTAGGTCAAGGCCATCAACTCCACCTTCTAGAGGGATTAGTCCATCTCGAATAAGGTCAACCAATTCATCCATTCAATCCAACAATTCAACTTCAGTGCTCAGCTTTATTGCTGATTTTAAAAAAGGAAAAAAAGGTGCAGCCTACATAGAAGATGCTCACCAATTACGACTTCTCTACAACAGATACTTGCAATGGAGGTTTGCCTCTGCAAAAGCTGATGCTGTACTTTACATCCAAAATGCAATTGTGGAGGTATTACTGACTACCTTTAACAACCTGCATACTCTTTTTTAATGTATTTCTTCTGCTATGTTATAGCATATATCCAAATAATTTGCCTAAATTGTTTTTAAAAAGGTTAATTCCATGGTGCAGAAAACTCTATATAACGTATGGATTACTACTTCGTCCATGTGGGAGTCTATTGTTAGAAAAAGGATCAATCTTCAGCAGCTGAAGCTTGAACTTAAGCTGAATTCTGTTTTAAATGATCAAGTAATGTTTCTCCTTTTCCACAATATATTATTTACATGCCAGCTTTTATTGTTGATTGTATAAATATAGTTATTTTTCCTTTTTAATTTTTCCTTGTAGGATAATTGTACTTGAGATAGTTTCTGATCAGTTCATTAGTGGCTACTTTACACAGCAGGAAATGGGCCCTAGATATTGAGAAGTTAATTTTCTTTTACTACTTTTTAGTTACAGGTTATTCATATTAGTTTATTTTAAGTGATTCAAAATTTTTATGAAATTGAAATAGAAGCTTTTGATTTGGGTTTTCAGCTTGGAGTTTTAGGAGGAGTATAGATAGAACATGTGAAATAGTTTTGGAGGGGAAAACATTCTGATCTAGACACTAGTATTGTGTGAAATCGTGAACAAAGTTGAGCTTCTAATTTCATTTGCTATGGTCGAGTTTGGGATGCTATTTTCTCCTTCTTTAATTGTTTCCAATTTCATGCATTCTTAAATGTTGGCCTTTTACAATGACTGAAGCAGATGATCTACCTTGATGATTGGGCTGTACTTGAAAGAGATCACATTGATGCTGTGTCTGGGGCTGTGGAAGACTTGGAGGCAAGCACTCTTCGTCTCCCTGTAACTGGAGGAGCAACGGTGTGTATACTGGCAGGATGTCCTTTTTGTTCAATAACTGAGGGAAACAATGGCTTTATTTGCTATGTTTGTACTTTTACAGGCAGATATTGAGCATTTGAAGGTCGCCATCTGTCAAGCTGTTGATGTCATGCAAGCAATGGGATCTGCAATCTGCTCATTGCTCTTGCAGGTGAGTTGACTGTATTCTACAGGATTTGTATGGTGTATGTTGACATTGACGAGGATAGATATAACAAATTTAACTTTTCAATTATATGCATCGTTGCCGAGCATGTGTCTGTCCAACTATTTTGTAATCCAATTTCAACTTGCACGTTTAACTTTTTCTTCCTTTGATTTCCAAATTGTAAAATTGAAATTTTGTATTCATTGGTAAAGGGCCCAACTATAAATTTCTTTATCATTGTCAGATCACATGGTCTGTTCTTGGTTCTTACACCATGTCATTTTTGGCTGTGCCAGATTGAGAGCATGAACAATTTAATTTCTGAGGTTGCTGTCAAAGCAGCACAGGAAAAGACCATGCTGGATGAATGTGAAATGCTACTGGCTTCAGTAGCAGCGATGCAGGTGAGAGTCATGATAAATGTCTTTTACAACGTGAATCATCCATAACAATTGTCTCAATACCTTGTATTGCATATTGTTGAGGTCCCACGTTGATTACAAATATGGCCAAAGGAGGGCTTATAAAGGCTTAGACAATCCTTAGCTCATGAGCTAACTTTTAAGTTTGAGTTATGTCAAGCCCAAAAGATAGTATAAAAGTCTATCATAAATTTGATTTTGGGTCATCTTCAAACCTACCATGAGGGAGATGTGTTGAAATCCCCCATTGACTTCAAATATCACTGAAGTAGTGCTTATAAAGGCATAGGCTATCCTCATCTCATGAACTAGCTTATAAAGTGTCATTTCTGATTTCCTTACTATGCTAATGTTTTTAATATATCAGTGCTTTTCATTTTGGTCCGTCTTTCTTTAATGGTTCAGGAGCATAATTTAGGATAGTGAAAATTCAGATTATAGAGTTTTCTTGCTCTTGAGCTATGCTTCCTACCTCATTCTTCACAAAAAGTGAACATGCCCTATTTTCATTCGAAGGACTGATAATCTCTATATTATTAGCTTGGCGTAGGGTTTTGTTGAATTTGCCTTTTGGAGCCGTTAAGGAATTTGGTGGCCTGCTGGAGACTATCTCTTATTCTTCTTTCCTCTTTTTCCTATCAATGGGATTCATGTTGTTTGTCTTTGTTTTTTAAATTGTTGGGGTTTTTAAGTTTTAGCCAGTTTATCTTATTTGACTTACAACTACAGTTTGTATGACTTTGTCAACTATCTTCACGTTTCATTCCCTTGTTCCTTCCATCATCATGGCTACAAGATGTTTTATTCGTTTATTCCTTTGTTCCACTGAGTTGTATCCCATCTGGTTGTCTGGGAAAATTTAGGACAACGATCTTGCAATATGTTTTATAACGATGGGGGGCATCCGTTGAACATGGACTTCATCATTCCCATCAGTAGGACAGTTTGAAAGGACATATATATCTGTGAAATGTTCTTCAATTGCTGCATAAATGGAATAGAATTCATTGCTTCATCACCATCGTCGTCTTGGTGTTAGTTTCTAATTAGTTTTGGCAAAACCAGGTTGAGGAAAGTAGCCTTCGGACGCATCTTGTGCAAATCAAGCAAGTAACAAATTCCGGAAATTTAAACAACCACGAACCTGACCTGCTGCCAAGCCAACAAGTAATAAATTATCTCTTGCGACTTCAGCCATAGTATCGGTATCTAATATCTTTCAGGTTCTTTACCTTTGTAAATTTTCGAATAGTTTTTCTTTAACCGTTAAATATTCTGGAATCGATATTGTTTTGTTACCCTTTGGTTATTTTTTTTCTTCATCCTTTTTGCCCCACAATACTCGAGGCTATAGGTTTCCACTTGTAATTTTGTCTCAGGCAAAGGAAAAAAAAAATTGAAAAGCAATGGAGCAAAATATCATCCAAATTTACAATGTAATTTTTAAGTTTAATTTCTGTTTTATTCCTTATACGAAACCTGTATTTTAAGTTTAAGTCCCTGTACAAAAGAAATTTATAAAAAAATCTAAATAAAAAAATTATTTTTGAAGTAGTTCTTGACGTTGACTTCTATTATAAAATTGTCATCTAATGTTTACACATTTTTTTATTCCTGTACATGACACATTTATTCATTGTGGTTGTTATGCATAACCTATTTTTTTTATTTTGGTCCTTATATGAAAAAAAAAAATTCAATTATAGGATCAAAGTAAAAAAGATGTTAAATTAAGGGACTAAAATGAAAGAAAAAGTTATGAAAATGGCCAAAATAAAATTCACCATCAAAATAAGTTAAAAATGCTATGATGATTCGTGATAGATCACGAGATAATTTACAAATTTTAAATAATATTATTATGATTTAATGTGATTATGAAAATTATTACAAGATGATACTTAAAATTTGGATAAAAAATATTTTTTATTCATTATTAAAGATTATAAGGAGAGAATGCAAATTAATTTTCAAGTGTCAAAGTTATTATTATTATTTACTTATAGGCTATAATTTATAATTAAATTTTCTCATATTTCTATGTATAATAACAGTGGATTAATTATTTTATGAACAAAATTTAATATTTATAGATTAGAAGGTTATTGCTAATTTCATAACTAAATCTCTAGTTTTAATTGAAGAAAATCAAATAAAATAAAAATAAAAATTTAAAGTACTTCATATAAGTTTTATCTTCAAACTATCTATTAAGTGATCTCTTAAAAAAAATATAACATCAAAATATTTTTTATTTAACTCTCATGTACTATTTATGAATAATGATTTAGAAAGTTTAAATAATGTGACTGCCTATATAGTATAAAAAAGCGTAAAACAAAATTTTGACAAAATACATGTTTATATTTAATTAGTTAAATAATTGAAAAACTAGTTAAATATTTATCGAAATTTACAACAATCAAGGCTTCATTTATTTTTATTTTTAATTATGTTTTTTTTTTTGAAAAAAAAACTGTACTGACCATCAATTCTCATTCATAAGATATGCCTATATTCATTTATTCTATTTATGCATCAAATGTATAATTAATGAGTCAAAAATAGAAAACTGTTAATGTAATAAATGATTTTTGTAATTCTTTTTCATTTTCTGTGTGTACTACGAGTGAGCATGGATGAAATTTTTTAAAAAATTAATCTAAATCTATTTAAAATCTATTTATACTGATTAAATTTTGAATCAATCTATTTTAATTTTTTTTAAATTAATTTAAATTTAATTTTAAAATTTAGATTTGATTTAAAACTGAATAAAAATATATTATAAACATTTTTTATATTATTATATTAAAAAATATTAAAATTTTATAATAACTAATATAAAATTATATTTATATATTTTAATCTATTAATTATAATCCATTTAGAATATGATGTTTCTCTTTATTAATGCATGCAACTATATATATACACACATTAGTATAAGTTTAAAATTTTTTACACATAATCTGAGTCTTTTATTTGACTTAAATCTAACAGGTTATAATTTATTACTTTACTGACTGTTAGATTTAAGTTAAATGAAAGATTCATATTGAATTTAAGAGTTTTTATACTTACAACGATATAAGAAAATCCTGCTCCTATATATATATATATATATATATATATATATTAATCTTTAACTGTTTAAATATTCAAAATAGAAACTTTTATTAAAAAAAAAATATTTACTATATTAAAGATATAAAATTGTAACTAATACTTGCTTTTTAGATACCATCTTAGTTACTTAAGTTGAAGGTAATATTTTTATTTTTTAAAATTTTTGCTGATTGGTGCTAGATTCGGTATATCTTCTTTAGATTTCAGTGAGACCAATAACTGTAAGTTGCAGCCAAAAAAAGAAAAATAGATAACAAGTAACACGTGTTTCTAATTACAAAATTAAGTACATTGCTCTGGGCTTTCTCCTTTGATTTAATTAAAAATGAAAATAGAAAAGAAAATGACCTAGCATTATTCATCTCGGTGCATCTAGGCTCTCATTACTCACTTGACACACGTAAAGATACAGTAGATTCAGCAACTGATTCCACATTGCTTGACATCAGGCCCCTTTGTTTTTAACACAAAAGGGTCAATTCTGACCCAAACCAATGAGAAGATAGAAGCCAAAAGCACAGACCATATCACAATAAGTGTTGGTGTTCTGTTCTGCCTACCCATTAGACCTTTAAGGAAAGGGTACAAATGGACAATAACCCATAAAGAAAAGAAGAGTTTTCCAAGCAGTGCCCCCCAAGAATGTTCACCACTATTTATGGAATCTGTGAAGCCAGCTACAATACCAATGAGGTTTATTATTATGATGGTGGTTGGAGGTATTAGAAGTGCTGTCCATCTAATGGCATAGAGTTCACGAAACTCTACATCATCTGGTGCCTTTGATACAATGCTGAAGTTTGTGTTTACTCTACCAAGTGGCAGGGCTGCTATTAGGCCTTGCATAGTGGCAAAGAGGTTTGCTGACACACTGCCAATCACCCAAAATTGCTGGCTTCTCCACCATTCCTCAAGGCTAACTCCACTCCATCTCAATTCCAGAATCGCTGAGGCAAAGATTGAGATGAACAATGCAATGAAGATTAGACTTGCAAATGTGCCTACCTGGAAATGAATCAACAATAGCTTTTCATCAGTGATTGAATCAAGAACTTGATAAGCGTTTGAAAAGATCTAAGGAAACTTAGATAGCAAGAAAGAAGAACATTGCAGAAATTACATTTGTGTTTCTAATCTTATTTGTAAAGAATGTATACTATACTTCTGTTTATTTATTTCTAATAATTTCACATCAGTATGTTTTACTCATGTTTATACACACCCATTTAAAATGCACCTCTTTTACTCTCTCTATATTATGATTTGACATTTTATAATGAATAGTATACAAGATGATAAAAAACAAATTATTGAGAATGCATACTATTTACTATTTAGCATGTTAGAGGTTCCTGATTATCCAATGATGTATCATGTGTGTTTTTTATGTGAAGTAAATAATAAAAAGAAATTTGATACCGATGGTGTGATGAATTTATCAGTGAGCAAGCAGATGGCAGGAATGAGACAATATATGAGGAGGGGGATTGAGGTGAACGGGTAGACAGTGCTATTAATATAGGCAATTCTTTGGAGCCCCTTGAGTCTTCCTCCCTTGAAGCCATAGAAGAGAGGACAATGGCTGCTGAATAGGATCTGAAGTGATCCCAGTGCCCATCTAAGCACCTGGTTCAGTCTATCGGTAAGGTTGATTGGAGCTGTACCCCTGAATGCATCTCTCTTTGGCATGCAGTACACAGACCTCCAACCCTGACAATGCATCTTCAAACTTGTCAAAGTATCTGTTGCTATTGATCCATAGCTCAAACCCACCTATGCATGCCAAAAATCATCAAGAATGTTTCAGCTGTTATCTACCAATTCATTTGGAAAATAAATCCTTGAGCAAGTATAGACACATCTAAATAGTAGTCATACCCTTGTGGAACACATTTCCATTTGGACACAACGGATTATTTTAAATGCTTCTAACTGTAATATATAATTTTCTTTACTTTTATAGCAATACACATAGAATGTCAGAATAGTTAGATAAATTATAAAATTTTATTATGTTTATAATGACTTAGACTCATTTTTAAAAATATCAAATATCCCTTTCCAATTATAATTTGTATTTTATATTAATTTTCAGATTAATTTGTGTTATAGTGGTGTCATTATGTCTTCTGAATTGTCAAAATTTGTGGTTTGGAGGGTACCTCGTATCCCCAAAGTGTTCTGTCTTCATATCTACAACCCATGACATGAATGGCTTCTTTAAGCAGGGCTTCCTGACTCGAAGAAGGATCAGCACCACCTTCTTCTGTCATTGAAGAATTCATAAAAAGTGTGGACTTCCCAAATTTGTTTTCATCATTCATCTGTGACTTCAATAGCTCTTTGTCCTCATCTGTTGCTTCTACAAAAGAAAAGTAGTTGTTGAGAGAGAAATCAGAAAAGAAAAATGCTTCTTTTCGGGTGTTTTTGATAAATTATAGAGGATTGTGATCACCTGTTATGGTTGCATCCTCTCCAGTCTCATCCTGTTTGGAGTGAACTTGCACCATTCGTGGGCGTTTTGAAGCCTTTGGAGCATCAAAGCCAGTTAAAGCCTTCCTTCTAAAGATACATCCTGAACCAACATAAGAAGGTCCCTGAATTCCATCTAGGCACCTCAAGTTAATCTGCAAAAAATTAACACAAAGTGTACCTGATCAAATTTCGAAGGAAACAAAATAATTTTGAATAAATATACAATTTGATCCTTGAAAATGGCATCTTATTTATCTTTGGCTCTTGAAAGTTTCACTTGGTATAATTTAGTCCTCAAATGTATTAACTTACTCTATTTTGGTCCTTCCTTGACAAATTTATAAGCAACCGGGAGTAAAGTGTAAGCAAAAGTAACATATTTAGGGATTAAATTGTACACACCAACACTTTCGAGGACTAATTAGTTTCCAAAATGACCAAAATGTGAGTATAAAAAGTAAAACTTTCGGGGATCAAAGATAAATAAAGTGTGCATTCAAAAACAAATTTTGTATATTTACTCATGAATTTTAAAACAAAAGAGGAATTAATATTGCACTTACATCAAATAAAACAGTGTTTTTGTTCGCATAACGATCGTTCCTATCTAGGCTGTCAAATCTTAATGGAAACTGGACAAAGCCAATGCCATTCCCAAGTTGTATGTCCATGAAGAAACACATGGCCTCTCTCACGACTTTGCTGTTATTCACATAATGATTGCAATCCAAGTTCAACACAAAAGGAGCATTGCTTAGCACTGCTGATACGCGAAGCTGAAAGTTTAGGCCAAAAAAGAATCTTATGTTAGATTCATGCCATGAGGATGAGAAAACATGATTTGGAAGATGAGAGAAAAGTGATTGAAATGTTTACCAAGGCATTAATTGCGCCGGCTTTGCCGTGGGGTTGAAATGCAGGCCTTTTCTCACGAGACATGTAGACAAGACATGGAAGCTCATTACCTTGATGGCCTCCACTCTGAGCAAGAAGGATTTGTATCATACTTGGATGATCTTTGGTGTTGTTTCCTGGCCATGGTGTCTCATCTTTCATAGTCCATCCTTCTAGGGGAATTCTCATGGATTTAGCCACAAGTGCATTTATCCTCACCTTAAATTCTTCATATTCTCTCTGTCATGTAAGTGCAAAGAGCCGGTGAAACTTTGTTCTTCACATTGCAGTAGTATGAATCAATATTTTAAAGGTTAAATTAAAACATTGATTCCTATATTTGATCTTTCCTAATGTAATCTCTACAAGAAAAACCTTACATTATCATTTTTGCAAACATCAAAAAGTCATCAAGCTTTCATGCTAGAGATCACCATTATCATTTTTTCATGTAAAAATTAAAATATAATGTTTTCATGTAGGGATCAAATTAAAAAATGGTGTCCAGTTTGGAGACCAAAATTTTAACTTGATATGTTTTAAAAGAAGGCATAAGTTTAAGCATTAATGCTAACCTTCATTGTGCGACGGTCTTTTACATATGTAGACTGAAGCTTATCCTTTAGAAAATCTATCTTCTCAGAGAAGTACTTCTCTGGTGCTCTAGGTTCTACAGAGAATTTTTTGCAAAAAGGTACCCATTTTCTGGCAAATTCAGCAGTTTCTTGAAGAGCTTCAAAGGTGAGCATGGAAGCTCCATCATCAGAAACGTAGCATGAGATTTTGTCAGCAGGGTAATCCAAGGCCAAGATTGAAAGAACTGTGTTGGCTGTAACTAGAGGAGGTTCCTTGATTGGATCTACAGTAGTTACAAAGATATCGATTGGAGAAAGCATATTGGGCTTGTTCTCCGGTTCAAACCTGCATTACAAGTTCTAGACATTTAGTTTATTGATTCGATTCCAAGTCTTATAGAAAACAGAATCAACCATAAAGAAAAGGTAGTGTCACGAACATCACATAACGTGTTGTTAGTGACTCAATTATTGTAATACAAATGCTAACCGATGTCCTTAGAGTACTCATCAAGGAATTAGAAGTAGAATTTTTTTATTGAGAAGTGTAACAATGCACTCTTTAAGTGATTTCTAATAAAAAATTTCTATTTATTAATTCCATAATTAATAGTCTAAGCCATGTCGTTATATTTGTTATTTGGTGTCAACTCTTGCTCTTGGAAGTTCTATGAATATGAAAATTAGTTCCATTCAGGAGACTTGACCTGATTGAAAGACGATCAAGGTAGGTCTCACGGTTAATGGGAAACCATTTTGGAAGCTGATCAATTATCCATGATAATGCAAGCCAGATTTCACATGTCACAGATGTGAACCATAGTCCAATTGCATCAGGTACAGGGTGGAAGATTCTGTACTGAAAGAAGAGTAACAGAAGGAGGAGCCGAGCCGTAACCATCATTCTATAAGGACTTAGTTTGCCTGAAGGTATTGCTACTTTCCTTGAGAGTGGCTGTCTAGCTTCATCTTTCCTGCACCATGTTATATGATAACACACAAAGCATTAATTACTTTTCATTTTTGTTCACTATACATGGTTGTTAAAATAGTATCATAAAGTTCCTAAATTGGGAACAGTGACATGCTGCATACATGGCCTTTTCTGGATCAACTGAGGCATCAGTTTCAGGCCACAGATTGCCTTGGTGCAACTTCCACTCATCTGTTTTCTCCTTTTCATCAAATTTTGCACCACCTGCTTCATAAAGGGGGTACTAATTATAATAAACAAGTGTCTTGTCTTCATTTTATTTCTTCCTTATCCAGTTAAAGGAAGAAAGACATTGGATTATCTAATAAAAGAGAAGGCCAAAACATACCTGGTTCTCCACTGTGAGAAGATATGGGTAGGTCCCCATAGACCTGCATGTTGCATAGAAATAATTTAAACTACTGTATCTATAGTTCAGTGAAAATAAATATGAAAATCTCAAAGTTAAAACTTGATAAATATAATGCTTGTAGAATTTCGTTTCCTTTACCGGTTTTGATCTAGCATTTCCATGATCATCTCCATGAATCATCTTCCCTTGCAGCATCTCTTCATGCTTAAGCTTGTACTTTTCTTCTTCCATTTTGAATTCATGCTCAATGTCATCCACATCATCTTCATCTTCATCTCCCTCCACTCTTGGGCTTCCTTCGCACACCAAGAAACAACAATCAAAAAGAAAAGTCACAAAATAGAAAAATGTATACATACATTATTTTCTTTATCTCTTTTGGTTCGTATTATACTTTCTTCATTTCCATTTACCTTTGATACGCTTGTATCTTGTATGGCATTGAGGACAAACTTGAGTCCCTTCCCTTCTTTCATACTCATAACATGGCCTACACACAGGGAAACCACACTCTTCACAAGCTACAAATAAGTCTCCATCCACTGTAAGTCCCACACAATCGCCACATATCTCACATAGCTGACCATCTAAGTTTTTCACAGGCTTACGCTGTAACAAATTAAATAAGGTATATGTTATTCAAACACCAAAGAAAACTGTAATTTTTCTTGTAGAATATATATTGAAATACATAATTAAAAATACATTGTATGATTATTTAAAATTTTAAAAATAATGTCATTTGAAAAGTTTTCAAAAACACTGTCGTTTAGAATTCGTACTTACAATTTATACATATAGATTAATGTCATCATATTATATAATTAAAAAAAGAAGACTTGTCTTCCTCGTTTCTCTATGGTTTACCTCATCATGTCCTTGGATGACCACAAGCTCATTGCTGTTTGGAGTTCCTGCAAAAAGTCCAGTCCTAGCTTCCATGGTGAGTGAGGAATGGAAGCAGTGTGCAAGTATGGTGAGAGAGGTTTGGGTTTGCATATATAGCTCTTCTAATTAATCAAGGTAAAACATAAAAGTGCCTGTTTTTCACGTGTCCACATAAGGGTACTATTGATGGTTGTGGTGTTACTACTGACTTGAAGGGTTGAAGTTATACTGCAACTAAATTTATGTTGAAAATATGGGTATAGAGTATGCATGTGCTTAAACATAGCTTAATGCAGAGACATCTTTCTGAAGAGGGCATGCTTTTCTGTGGTATTGGAGAATGTTCTGCCCTTGTTAAGGTACATAGGCACGTCTCATGTTTCAGTTTCATAATGTTTATACAACAACTATAGAAACTGGACGTTCTTCCTAAGTTCCTTGACATTTTTTACAACATTAGTGACCCTTATGTTTATGTCGCTGCTTAGCATGAAACTCAATCATATTCAAGAAACTGAGATCCTCCCCTGGTGTTTTGTCACACTAGATTGATGTGTAACACTAACCCTACAAAAATGACTATGTGGGTAAAGAAGGATAGGATGTCGCCACCTTGTTTCTTCATTAATAAGATATATGTTCCCACCTTTTATATTCAATTAGTATCATACCCTAAAAAAAACAACGATTTATTGTTGCTTTGTCGTTTTGTTAGTGGGAATGGAACCATTAGTATAACCAACCAATTTGAGTATACACTAAGATGAAAATGTACTATATTACTAATAATGGTGTATGTCATTTATAATACTAACATAGTTTATCACTGTAAATTTATAATGTCAAAAGTAATAGTTTATTGTTTATTAGATCAAATCTATACCAATAACACAAAAGGCTAACGACAAACTGTAGGTACATTTTTTTGTTTATATAGTTAGGGTGAGTTCAGCCATATATTTGTTGAATTTGACATGATAGCAACGTTAGAGATATTCGGCTTGAAGATTATGAATATGAACCCCAACTTCAGCAATTTTCACGAAGAAACAAAGTACTGAAGTTTAAAATATAAATTTTATGCCCCTTTCTCTTCTCCTTTTATATAATATAATGTACAACATGAATAAACAAAGGACTAAGCGATTGGATTCGAACAAGCTGGTCATAAGAGCTGGCTAAGCCAAAACCAAATCATCAGATACCAACTTTTTCACCAAGTAAGTTCTTTCCTTCGCCGTTTTAAGAAACTCGGTTGAATGAGTCGTGTATGTGATACTGAAAGAAGAAATCATATTTATGAATTATTGTGTTAGGGGTTATTATGATGTTATTTTAAAAATAATTTTTTTATTTTATTTTAACATTTTTATCTTTCATAAACTATGGTATATATCCGTTGAAAAACATTTTGATGGTAAGACCTTTCTATTTGGCTGAGCCTATTCAAGTTTGAGTTAGTAGGACTATTAGAGGGGATAGATTTCTCCTTACTAATTTTTAACGCAAGCTACGTTGATACTCCAATTCAACACCATTAGTTAAATTAAAGCAGTTCTCTACTAATAAAAAATAAATAAAACTTAAACTTTGAAAATCCAAAACAAGTTAGTTTAACCGGTAAGAAATTATTTTTATTTGTATAATTTTTGCATACTTAATTAATATTTATAAAAAATTATTAAGTAAAATAACTCTTGTCAAAATTATTTTTGAAGTAACTTGATCCCCACTCTAATAAATCATTTATTCATTATATATGTTTTTCTCGTACTTTATAAGATTTTTTAAAATAGTAGTTTCTAGTAAATTATATATATATATATAATTTACTATATTCTAGTTTTTAAATTTAATTTTACTGTACAACGCATGGGCGATAGGATTATGCTGGTTTATACAAAAGTAGCAGTACTATTGTTCATAAAAGATGTTACTGTAACTAGCACTGTTAGCATTATTACTGTAATTCACATTGTAATTAGTTGTTTTTTTTTTTTTCGGTTCCATGACTATAGTGCAACTAACCTCGATGCTTCACACTTTTACTGGACCATTTCAGCTTAGATTATACCAACACTTTCAGAACATTCTTTTTTGCAGTAGCAAATTTTAATCACGGAGTAACAGTTATCGATGTTATGAAATTCTTCACCTGTGTTGTTCCTTAAATTGCAGCCATTAGGGACAAAGTTTCAAACCCCTTTTAATTTGAGTCTTTCCTCTAAATATTGGCTCAAAGACTATTGAAGTCTTATAATGTTCAGCTACAGTTCTTCCGAAATTGCTGTCATTAATGACAATGTTTTAATATAATTACTTTTGCTTTTCCTTTCTCGTTTACAGTGTTTTCTTCCATATGTTATTTTTATGTATGCTTTTGAATTTTACATCTTGAACAAGAATTCAGTGAAATAACATACTCATCTTGCAAATAGTGAACAGATAAAACTGTAATTTTGATTTATCCGAGGGTAGTTTCAGCCAAAACATATGATAACCAAGATGTCCTTCAGAGAATTTACAAAAATGAGAACACTCATTTATGCTACAAAAAATGTTCACTCTTTTCTTATTCATCCTTGAGCATTGCCACTTTGTTGATGTGTGCATAACCCTGTATAACCAAGAATGTACACTACATACATCTTCTAAAGATGTTCATCAAAGAATACTATAGATAAACCAATCTTCTAACAGTTGATTCCACATAGCTTGGTATCAGGTCCTTTAGTCTTGAGGACAAAAGGATCAATTCTTACCCACAGCAAGGAGAAAATAGAAGCCAATAGCACTGACCAAATCACAACAATGGTGGGTGTGCGGTTTTGCCGACCCATCAAACCTTTGAGGAATGGATACAAATGGACAATCACCCAGAAAGAGAAGAAAAGCTTCCCAAAAAGTGGTCCCCATGATTGGTACCCATTGTTTATAGCATCTGAGATTCCAGCAACAACACCAACAATGTTTATAATTAGGATAGTGGTTGGAGGAATTAGGAGAGTAGTCCACTTAAATGTGTATAATTCTCCAAAGTCTTCATCATCTGCAGCTTTAGATGTGACAGTGAAGTTGGTGTCAATTCCTGCAAGAACCTTTAGTAGACCTTGTATAACAGCAAAGAGGTGAGCTGATACACCACCAATGACCCAGAACTGTTCATTTCTCCACCATTCTTCAATGCTAACTCCACTCCATTTCAACTCAAGAATACCAGTTGCAATGATTGAAGAGAAAAGTGCAACAAAGTACAAACCAGCAAAAGTGCTAATCTGCATCATCAACAAGCAAAAAATTACCATTTTATGAGTATAGAGGCTTGGTATACATTCTATAAGCACATTGAATTAGGATTGAAGAACCTAGTTTTTATTATCTATATAATGAAATAACGAATTAAAAGATTGAACTCCACTACACAATAAAGATGATTAGCATTCACTTTATACTCATAAAAGTGGAAAGGTGGAGGTTTATAATTCCAATCGTAGAGCATGCATAACTTAGTTGCTAACAAGATTAGAATTTTTACCGGTGGCATGATGAATTTGTCAGTGAGTAAGCAAACTGCAGGAAGAATACAATAGGCAACTAGAGGAATAGAGGTGAAAGGGTAGACAGTTGTGTTTGCATAGGCAAATCTTTCAAGCCATTTTAGCTTCTTTTCCTTGAAGCCATACCATAAAGGACAATGGTGACTGAAGAAGATCTCAATGGAACCAAGGGCCCAACGAAGCACTTGGTTGAGTCTATCTGACAAGTTGATAGGAGCAGTACCCTTGAATGCAGGTCTCTTTGGCATACAGTAAATAGACCTCCACCCTCGGCAATGCATCTTAAAACCTGTTAGAATATCCTCTGTGATGGATCCATAGATCCAACCAAGCTACACATTTAAAAAAAAAAAAAAAAAGCATGAATGGGATTAGCTGAGTGTCCTAATTATAACAAGACATGAAGAAGTCCTAAGTCAGTCGTTGTTGTTGTTGTACCTCAAGTCCCCATTCAGTTTTGTCTTCATAACCACAACTAATTACATGGATGGCTTCTTTAAGTAGTGCAGCTGGACTTGAGGAAGGAGGTACACCACCCTCTTCCATTAAGGTAGAAGTCACAAAAATAGAGGACTGTCCAAATTTCTTCTCAAAATTCATCTGAGACATTAGCACCTCTTTGTCACCATCCATCCCTACTTAGACATGTGACGAGAGGTTAGAGCAGGTAAAAAGAAAATCAAAGTTAGTTACAAGAAATACTAATGATTAAAAACAAAATGAGAACCTTTTAGGCTGGCAGCCTCTCCATTTGCATCACTCTTCTGCTTATACTTCTTGCGGCTTCCAAAACATGGGCAACAATCACAGCTTACCATTTTTGGACGCTTTGGACCTTTTGGAGGATTATAGCCATATAAAGCTTGCCTCCTAAAAACACATCCTGTGCCCACATATACAGGACCCTGAATACCATCTAGACCCTTCATGTTAATCTGCAGAGAAAGACAAAGAAAAAGTGATATAATCAAATATTCTGCTCACAATGTTAAAAAAAAGTCACTTGCATTGCTGAGTTTCTTGGTTTGACTTACGTCGAAGAAAACTGTGTTCCTATTGGCATAACGATCATGAGTATCAATGCCATCAAATCTTTGTGGAAACTGGACATAGCAAACCTTCTTCCCAGTTTGGGGGTCCATCAAGAAGCACATGGCCTCTCTCGCAGCCTTGCTGTTGTTAACATAGTGATCACAATCCAAGTTCAACATGAAAGGAGCATTTGTGAGAACAGCAGATACCCGAACCTGAAAATTACAAAAGTGTCATCAAATAATTGCTATTTATAAGTGTGAATGAACATGAAACATGATGATGCAAATGAAAAATTGTTGAAAAACTCTACCAAAGCATTCATGGCACCAGCTTTCTTGTGATGTTGAAAACCAGGTCTTTTCTCTCTAGAGACATAAACAAGGCGTGGAAGCTGGTTTCCTTCAGTATCAAAACCTCCACTGCTTCCAAGAAAGACTTGAATCATACCAGGATGATCCTTAGTGTTGTTCCCTGGCCATGGTGTCCCATCTTGCATGATCCACCCTCCTTGAGGAACTTTTTGGGCTTTTGCAACAAGTGCATTGATCCTAACCTTAAACTCTTCATATTCTCTCTGTCATGCACCCAATTCATAGTGAATCAATTTCAATTTTTTAAAGAATGAAAATAACCCTTAAAAAATACAAACATCAGTCATATATTACTATATTATTAGTCCTTGAATGATGAGAATTACGTTTATGGTCCCTGAATATGCATTTAATTATCAAACTAGTCCTAAAATTCATGATGTGAGGACTAGTCTGATTAAAGAAAAGCCCAATCAAGAACCTTAAATGTAAATTTCATCATGTTTGTACATTAATATCTTTAGAGGACTCATTTGATTATATATGCAATCCTTAAATATTCCTTAATACTTGAAAACAAACCTTCATAGCTCGACGCTCCTTGACAAAGGTGGGTTGCACTTTGTCCTTTAAATAGTCAATCTTCTCACTAAAGTACATCTCAGGTGCACGGGGTTCTATGCAAAATTTCTTACAAAAGGGTACCCACTTCCTTGCAA